AATTCCACTGTGGTGCTCATCAGGCATGCTCCCCCTGGGGTTATTGTTAGAAGGGCCAGTTACATCCCCTTCCCCCTTCCAATAGCTATGCTCACTTCTACCTCTACTTCCTCCTTGCTTGCTCTCAAAGAGCAACCAGAGGATAGAAGAGCTCTGTCCTGCCAGGGAACTAACACAAAAGCCAAAGTTAGTAAATCACTGTGCACATGATGACAGCAAATGGCAAAGGCCAATCCTATGTATCACTATAAAAAATAACATTAATTGGGATGCTTTGCAATTTCCTGTACAACCCATAATTAGGTTAGATAAGAAACTAGCAGTGTCTAAGTGCTATAAATGTCTAAATTAAGTTATTTTGAAAGTGCTTGGCACTTTGACATTTGAGAGTTCAGAGTAATTGGGGTATTGAAATAAAATTGCTTCTGTTATTTAAAAGGTCATTATCTTCTTTGGGTAAATATATGAAGACTATTTTCCACTCTACTGAGCCGTTCTATCTGGTACAATTAGACCTGCTTGAGTAGATTTCTAGTGGGCCTCCTCCCACTTATCACAGTCCCAGCACTGCCACAGGGAAGGGCCTGTAAATATACAGCCCAAATATGGAGTATGTATTCCGCTCATAATTGGGTTCTGAAGAGCGAAGAGCTGCCCAGAGCTTCAAAGAGACACCCACCATGAACACCACAGGCTGCTACACCCAGCAAGGTGGCAACTGAGTCCTTACACAAACTAAGTCAACAAATGCAGTGTTACAGGCAGAAACCAGCCTGCCAGGCAAAGGCTTTGGAGCAAATCAGGATTTCACCTTTCCAACCAAGTTACCTTATAGTCTGGCAGCAAGTCTGGTGATTTCAGTAACACTACTGGAATCCCTTGTTTACAACATACGTGGTCCCACTGTCATAAGATATGTCTTTTGCTGGCTTACCAGCTCTGGTGCTCTGCAACAGTGACAGTTAAAGATGGGAACATAAATGACTACACCTTGACTGCATTGTATTTTGGTTAGTCCAGTGATGTCAGTAAAATAAGAGGACACAAACACATAAGACATTGTCAGAAGAGTCTGGACTTGTTACTGTGTCTCTACTGGAGATTGCCATAGCCAGGAGACCCTGAGGAATGGTCTGAGCACAGGAGTGGCCAAAGAGCACCCTCGCTGTTCATTCCAGTGGCTTAATCCCTGTGCTTTCCCCATGGGAGCTGAGCATCCCACCAAAACTGAAGTAGCTATGGGAGCAGGACTTCATTGTCCCTCCTGGCCAGGGAACAGATGTACAAGAGAGAAGCAAAGTCCTTAGAGCCTCCTGCCCAAACTGAACAAGGAGACAATTTCTGACCTGAAACAGGGAAAGTTCCCATGCTGCTGTTGCAGCCACCCACACAGAGACAGCTTCTCCCACATCAGCTCCAGCCACCCAGCCAGCACACTCACCATTGCTCCCTCAGTGACTACCCTACACCAACAACTCTCCACATGCATAGGATTGCAGAATCACAGAATCACAGAATATTAGGGATTGGAAGGGACCTCGAAAGATCATCTAGTCCAATCCCCCTGCCGGAGCAGGAACCTAAATGAGATCACACAGGAAGGGGGCCAGGTGGGTTTTGAATGTCTCCAGAGAAGGAGGCTCCACAACCTCCCCGGGCAGCCTGTTCCAGTGCTCTGGCACCCTCACTGTAAAGAAGTTCCTTCTGAAAATGCAACACTTGAGTATGAACCACATTGAGTGATCACTGAACACAGGTGCAGCTGTCCCCATCACAAGGCCTACATTTGCTCAGTACTCATTACAGCAAATATTACTCATGGTCACCAAGATCCAAATGTTCTGCTGAAGGCTGCCTGGTTCTAGATACCAGGTTTCCATAAGACATTTAACTCCAGTGCAGCGAACAAGGGAGTTCCATTTTAAAAATATCACATGGCAAACTTCCAGGAGCCTCCTGACACTTGGGAAGAGCTCTGATCACAACCCGTCTGTAAGGCAAAAAGCATAGTGAAGGTTGTCATTCCTCCACCAGCCCTGTTCCCTCTCACACCTCCACACCAGCCTGTCAGACTTCAATGACAGTAATTGCTATGCACACGTCTAAAGACCGACACCAGTAATGTGTAAACTAGTCTGATTCCTAAGGATGCATGTGAACATAAGCAAACAAATCATTCTAGCTACCTGTCTCAGAGGTGCTTAGTACTGAGCAGGAGAAGACAATAGAGCTGGGATCAGGTCCAGAGCTTTTCTGGGCTTCTTTTTCAACTTCCTTGGGACGTCCCTCATGAAAGATAAGACATAAGTGCAACAGGCTGCATTTTCATGCAGAAGAGAGCACATTCAAAAAAATTGTTTTAGCTCATATGGTTCTCAGGTAACTTAACTTCTGACAGCCATAGAAAATCATGAATTAAATTATCTTCTTACGAACATTCTTGTAGCAAGCTTTGAGATCCCTGTATGAAAAGGACCTGGGAACAGCAGCACATGGTGAAAATCACAGGGGAATATTTCCTGTGGGAGTTACAGATCGGTTTGCATGGATTTCTCAAAAAAGGTTTGAGCAAATTCTTTTTTTATGAGGATGCAAAGGCCCTGCAGTGCACAGGCAGCTCTGCAAATATCGCTTCACTGGCATTTATTAGCCAAGAGAAAGCTACAGAAATCAGACAGTATTTAATGCTCACTAACATTTATAAGAGTTCTATTGCTGAACAAGAAGCAAGATGGTCTGTGCAATAACCAAATAAGTGTGATTAAGGCATTTTAGGGTTTATGGTCCTCAATCAAATTAAACTGATTTTTAGAGTCACATAAAGGTTGTGCTGTTCAACATTTCTCTTCTTGGTTTCTCCACAGGGCAGAGTTAAGACTGTGCCTTATTTATGCGTTTCTTATCCTAATGGGATTGGATTTCTTTCAAGGGTAATTCTCACCCTGAGCTACTTATCCCTTGCAAAAAGTTGGTTCTGAGATAATTACAATACTCTGGTGATGTTCTCACCGTGCCACTTAGAGTAACAATGGAGTTATGCTGAAAGTATTTGCTGTGGAATTGCTCTACTTGCTTAACTTTTCAAGCATATTCTAGATCTGCTACCCCAACATCCCATGTGGCCATTAGAGAATCAGTATCACTTCAAGATACCCACCAAGAAGGTACCACTACTGCCCCTGAGCTAGCACCAAGCCTTGCCTATGTGTCAGTGAGATCTACCTCCACACCTAGAGCTGTCAGAATTTCATGGATATTGATCATTTACCAAATACACAAGAAACTAACACAAATATAAATGTAGGTGCTTGTAAGAGGGCTGGTTTCACAGCTGATTTTTCAATCATATATTAGAAATTTCTAGCAAAAACCTCGTGTAACAGACTTGCCTGCAGAAAAATGACCAGGTAGCATCCTACCACTGTCACACACACTGGCTGTATTAGACCTAGGAAATTTCAGGACTGCAACATGCTTACATTTGTGCCTTAACTCTGCAAGCAGAGAGTGGTGTTTTTGGTACTTACAGTATGCATTTCTTTCCATGATGTACAACTCTGCAAAAAGACCCTCTAGAGCTAAAGAAGAAACCAAAACTTTCTCAGCCAAGCACCATTGTACAGCAAATAATTCCTAATCAGAATTTTCACCAGGAGGAAATTGTAACCCACTTCTATCCATTTACTTTTTATATTCTCCTAAATTAAAATGTTCTGATCATTAGAACAAGCCTGACTCAGGAAGACATTAATTCTTAACCTGCTGACTCACACATGCACTTTCTGGATTTGTTCTCTGTGATTCAAAACAGCAGCTGATGCACCTCACCCCTCTCTTGAAGGTATAAGAGAACCGCCTTTAGGCACAAGGAGATGAGCCTGTCAAATCCATTCATGGCTACTCTACAGCTGGCCTCTTCTTACATCAAACAAAGTCAGGTTGGTGTCTAGAGCATTGGAACCATCAGTGCTGCTGTCCAGGCTGCAAAGTAGGTGCCAGTGCCTGCTCTAGGAAAGAGAGTATCTGATATCCTTCAAATTCTCATAAAGTGTTAAGGAACTTGATTTTTCATACTTTCTCCATCTGCACTAGGGACACAAATAGCACTTAAATTTATTACCCTATGGCCTCAGCTTTCTTATACTACAAATACCCACTTCTACCTCGCAGGGTGATTGTGAAAGTAAATCCTGAAGTATGTCTCTCATACTGATATTCCAGAGAACATCAGTACAAGACCAGGAAAGAAGGCAGTGAAGGAAGAGAATGAAAGAATATGTTGACCAGCTGTGTCAGATCTTCATCCTCACCCTTTCCATGCATTTTGCCTGCCTTGAAAAAAAAAACAAGTCAGAGATTAGGAAACTAAAGATTGCAACATAACACATGTTCATAATGGGGCTGGATAAAGGCACCACTGTCAACCTAGGAATTCCTACCTTCCCTTTGCAAACAAAATAGCTTTTCAGAAGGCATGCATACATTTTCATGCAGATTCAAGGAAGGAGGAAGAGTAGGAACGGAGATATTAACATACCTGTATGTTAATAAGAACAAAGATATCACAACACTTAACATTTGTTTGAAGCCTCAGTATTTTCTGATCTCATGGTATCAAAATTAGAATATGTTAATTTTATTAAGCTACATTGCTCTTTGGCATAATCAAGGCAGTTTTACTTACTAGCTATTATTTTTGAAATACAATGTATCATGCCAAATTCAGCATCTAAAATAACATTTAAAATATAAAAGTTTCCCCAGGACAAATACTGCAAAGTGTCGCTGTCTGTGTGCTTGTCTGTCAGTGTATCTCACAACTTTGGAGTCCATTCCCTAATTTCAGTCAGAGCTGACTGCAGGTCAGTCCAACAACTCCTTTGAGATTCAGTCCCCAACCACAGGCTTCCAGTTTCTCTGATTCTTTCAGGCTGTGAAGGGTAATTTTCTCTCCATCCAAAAGGCTGAAAATACATGAGTTCTTGGGTATTTCTTCCTACCCATCCACAGACCAGCAGTAGACTCTTCCCCAGTCATCACCAACTAAGAACTTGGAGGAATTTCTTGACAAAGAAAGAAAAAGAGAAAAATGTTTAAGAACACAATGCAAAGAGGATCAAAGCTTTCTCCTGTTTGTGTAGCAATTAGGAGGATGCAACATTCAGGGGAATGGGTTAATGTTACTGTTAAATTTGAAGAACAATGACATAGAGTAGACAAAGATTTGAACTTCAAAGACTGAACTTAGAATTGCATCCAAAGTTTACTGGAGTTCAGTGGATTAGTTGTGGACAATCTAACCAGATGAGAAGCTCTCACCCTTCTCTGAAACTGAATGAAACATGAATGTTAAATAATCTGCTGGCTATATTCAGAATTCAGACTTGTTAGCACATAATGTCATGGCTTCAGTCACTGAAATCTCTGCTGCATGCAGTGCCTCCAACACTAGTGAAACTAACACTCCCCCCCAACTTTCCTACCTTCAATGCCTATAAACATCACCGTCACTAAGTGCTCTAATTCTGAGCATGCAGAATATAGGAATCATTTTAGCAACTATCAAAAAGCCAACACTTTTGGAGAGAAAGAGAGCAACTGTTTTACAATACACTGAAATATCCTGGAGTAGGAAATAACAACAAATATTACAGACAGATGAAACTGCAGGAGGGGGATTGAGTAAACCAAAATACTGCTGGCTGTGCAAACTGAGTGGAATTTAACAACAAAGTTGTCCTTTGGCCAAAAACTTCCTGTTTACATTTTAAGGAGACAGCACCTCCTTAAAAAAGAAGAGAAAAAAAGAAACTCCTAGGATGGCGTCTTTCCTATGATGCAGAGACAGTGTAGCAGCTAGTGATCTCTACAGCTATTCTGGCTGAAAACTGTTATTTCTCCTTGGTTGTCCCTTATTTGACCATCGACTATCCCAACATCCTTCCTTTCATACTGTTAGCCAGGTCAGCTCCCAGAGTGACTGCATTTGGCTAAGACAGCATGATTCAACTGAGATTTAAAACAAAACAAAACAGCCAACAAAAAAATTCCCAAAACCAACAAAACCTGAAACCTCAGAATAAAATAAACTCCCCGTGGAACTAGGGCAGAGCAGTTGAAATCCTCTAGCTGGCACGGTGCCCTCTGCAGGCCACCGGCTGCAGTAGAAAGAAAACTACAGTACCTGGATACAGCCAGCGCTGTCACGGCTGGGCTGGTCTTACTTGGCTTTCCAGTCAAGGCAAGGCTCGGATTCAGTTCCCGACAGAGAACAAGATGTTTTCCACACTTGTTACCTGTTGTGTGGGTTAAAAATAAATATTTAGAAAGTGTCTGGGGGCAGCATGGATGGGATTGTTATTATTTATGGTCAGCAAGTTGTTAAGTTGCGAACAAATATATTTAATCTCAGTCTGCGCTGTTGCAAAATAGGCCCATCCCAATTTAATTTGTGGCTATGATAGTTACATGTGCTGACGTGCGGCTGTATCAATTGTGTGCTAAATTGGATTTGTGTATTATTGCTTTCTAAATTGCATGCCTAGTTCAGCAAAATTGTTCATCAGTTTTCACTGGCTCTATACTTAATAAGATGCCCCACAATACTTTGCTGCCAGGATATAATACAGCCCATAATTGCCTAGTAAAAAGAAATTACATAAAGTCTTGGTATTATCAACTTATCTAAATCTGCTCATAACAGAACCAATAATTAAATGCTGAGAACCTTTCACGTACACACACATACGTAGACACACACCTAACAACATAACTCAATCATAGTCTACTTTGGTCTTTTTAATGACTGTGTTTTGTATTAATTTTATTTCCTTTAATGCATGGAATGACATGTGGGAATATTTGTCCATTTAAAATAATTCTGAAGTCATCTGAATAGTTTAAGGGAGCACGTCACTGCTTTAATTACACCTCTCAACTCTTTAATAAAGAATGCTGTCACTGTATGTATCTGAGAACAGGTGTGTGTGTCTACACATCACCAGATGCCTGGTCAATGCTTCTCTTATGATCCTCTCTGAAAAAGGCAAAACCAGGAGTATTCTACAATGCTCCCACGGGCAGCTTTTAAGTCCTGGTTTGGAGAACGGTTTAAGATACAAATTTTTAAAATAGCTAAAATCTCGGTTCGCTCAAAGACATTCCTATGCAATTGTACCTGAGTAAATAGGACATGGAAATAAATGCCACAGGAAGTTATGGGCAAGAATTTAGGAAATTCTTAAAACAAATTGGATGTTTCTACATGCAAAAATAATCTGCAAAATGACTACATAATACTACAAAGGTTTTGAAAGGAATGATAAGTCTTTTGCTTTGATTTACAGCAATCTGATTAGAGACCACAATGAAACCAAATACATGGCTACCACAGTCAGACTATTTAACATCTGGCATCTCTGGTGTTCTTCCACCTTCCATAGAAGAATCTAGCTTTAGCTACTCTTGGATTCATGACAAAAGGTAGGATGAGCATCTGGTTTGGCATTTCCAATATGCCTCTGTATGTATAAATACTTTCACATAGCGATCTAAGTAATGTAGATGCTGAGTTCCATGAACAACACATCTGAAGACCTCGGTGGTAATGCCCAATTACTATAGAATATCTTTTTATGCAGATGTCACATCTATAGCTCTATATTTATGCAAATTGTGTGCCTAAAATTGAAGTAATAGAGAATGTCTGTAATGAGGATCACAGCAAATAAGTGGCATCAATTATACATACTAACACCACAATTCCTTTCTCTTATAAAATGTGCTGTGAAGAGAAGCAAGCTGTGCTATTTAGGATGTGCCTTTAAAGCTCTTTGGCAGGCTTCAGCTCCTATATTTGTTGGAACAGAGAAGTGAGCTGGAGATGCTTTTAATACCAATCAGCACCATAGCCCCATCATCTTATTAACCTCAGCTCTGTGAGAACTCCAGGGTATCAGCTTCAGTTTGGCACAGCTTTGAACAAGCAGCTCCATGCACTAGGGCCTGCTGCTGGCCTCCCACCAGTTTGAAGGGCCTCTGACCTCATTTAAGGTGGCAAAGACAACAAATTTCTCTGTTCCATCCCAGTGCAGGATCTGGCACTGCCCACTCTGACGCTGTGCCAGAGTACTTTGGTACAGGACATCAGCAGAGGTGCCAAGGGAATGGGCTTTATGGAGCCTTGGTAGTTCATTAGTTTCGGAGGTTTATGCAGAAAGATGGTCTATCAAGCTTGACAGAACCCATGACAGAGCCTATGAAGAAGTTTTCATCTTCATCCAGGCAGGATGTGCCCTTGAGACTGATGGTTCAGGGGTGCTCTCTGTCTCTAAGTTCGGGCAGTGACTACCCACTACTGCTGCTGGTTACAGTGACACGGCACCAGTTTCATTCACCATCTCCCCTTCACACCACTGTACTCACACACCCTCTTCTTCCTCACAACCAAACAAGGTCCGCAGCACACAGTCACACTGCAGTTCACAGCCCACCCTGTTGTCATACCAGTCTTGCCTGGCTCTTCCATCATGCCTTTCTGGGCTCTTGGTCCAGCAGCTTGGTCTGGGTTATTGGTGTATTCAGTCTTCCACAGCTGTGCCAGCAAGGAGGTAAAATGGAAAAAGCGTGGATTATAACAATGCAACAAGAGAGAGATGTGGGTGCCTGCTTCCTAGCAAGGTGCAGAAACTGGACTTCTAACATCAGAATAGGATTTTGCAGTTGTCTCTCCCTCTGCCACTGTGCTGCCGGGCATTACACTGGAGAAATGTATGCAGGGAGCTGGTGGGGTTGTGAGGCTGACATGCCAATGAGGATCCCAGTAACCCAGGAAGCTCTCCCACCAGACTGGAGGCAGAACCAGCAGTGAATTGCTGCTCCTGAGAAAGTATGACTCAATAAACTAAGCTGTGAACCAACTCTCAGAAGCAAGACTCAAACATATTTCTGATAGCAAATATAAATTTTGCTTTCAAAACCACATCAGAATGAAAAACACATTTTCAAAACTCTTCCTGAATGGCAAAACCTCCCCCATTCAGGAGGCTAAAAGTTGATAGGAAGCAAATATTTTACTTTGATTTCCAACTTGTGCCCTGTGTTGCCCTGCTAAGAAAGTGCCATGGGCTTTTATCGGGTCTGTTCCTCCATGTAGGATGGGATGGGACAAACTTCTGCCTCTGGTCTACAATGAATCAGGATTCCCTTCCCTCTCTCCCATCCACCTACCCTCACCACTCCATCTGTGCTTCCTGTGATGATGATGCTGCGTGTGTCCCAGTCCATCACTTCAGCAAAACAGCAGCAAACAACATGGCTTTTGGGGCTGGAGGTGGTGTTAATGCTTGCAAGAAGTTGGCCATTGACTGTCCATAGATAAAGGTAAGATCCAGCACAAGAGATAATATCACCCTGTAACAAAGCAAGAGGCAATATTTAAAAATCCTACACTCATCCTCCTCACAAGTCTTAAGTGCTCATTATAAATTACAGAGTTGGTCTGACTTAAATTCTGACCTTTGTTTTCCTTCCGGGCAGGATGACATAAACCAGAGAAAGTAAAAATGTCATTCTTTCTCAAGAAAAATTGTGACATCTTTACATCATAGAAACCCAAAATAACTTCTCAGATTTAGCAAGATAATGCAGAAACAAAGGAGTTTTTTGCATTTTTTTAAATGAAAACATATCTTTAAATGTTCCCTTTCTATTTTCCAGAAAATCCAGGCTTCTAGTAAAAAAGTAGACTGACCTAGCTACTGTCAGGGACAGGGACTGTGCACAGGTGGTGCCTAGCACAGGTTCTGGGACAGGACTAGTGCTCTTTTAAGTTTTACAAATAAGCATTCTCTTAAACAAGGACACGTGTTCACCGGCTCAACCACCGAAGCCTTTAGTGATTTCACAATCCTCCTCTGCCCCTCACAGGGAGCTTAATGTCATCGCATTTTTAGACTGTGTTTTGCATTTGACCAATGACCAGCTCAGCTTTCAGTGAGCTGCACTTCCAATGCAGAAAACATCTTTTGGAACTGAATCTCTCCTCTCCCTTCCATGCACGGTCAGAGTCTTACCACAATCTGCAGGTAAGGAGTAAACACACAGGTAATCCCTTAGCGGCAAGAAACACACAGAACTAAGAGTCAATGCTGCAATTTTAAGTGATCTTACCAAAAGTGCATTTTGATCAAGTTACTAATTGAAATTCCACCTAACCTTCCCACCTTTGATGCACTAAGAACCAGTTAAATAGAAGATCATCAGCAAAGTCATCTGATTCTGGCAAAGGCCAGTGTGCCCTTAAATTAGCAGCATGCATCTGGTTTAGATCAACTAACACTGCACTTCACCCCTGCCTGATTTGGGGCCGAGGCTGCTCACACTGTAGGGCAGAATTCTGAAGATAAAACAAGGATAGTGTGTTCGAAACAGAGTTGCCAATAATTAAAGAGATTAAATTTCAGCTACTTTATCTGCATGAGAGTACATAATGTCCAGGCATTTGGTAATGATCTACAGTGTTTTACAGGTCTAGATCAGGGATTTAAAACTAACTGAAATCATTAGTTACTGCAAGCTTTTACAATCCTCCTTAGCTTATAAACTTTTTGGGACAGCCTTTTTATTTTGTTTCTACGTGACACAAACATCATGAGGTTACGATCTATAAATGGAGCATCTGTGGTTCAGAAATCTGTCTCCTTCAAAACTTTTCTTCAAAACATTCTGAATTTTCCAGAAAAAAGTCTTGTTATCAAAAATGTAATTTTGTGTCAATCAAAATATTTAATTTAGCACAACAGAAGTATTTTGTTTCTATATTCATGTTACTGTATGTCTGTGTATATATATATATATATATGGTCTGCTGAAGCCACTGGCCATTGTACACTAACTAGGACCCATGAGGCTGGGAGCTGAGCTGGCACTGAACAGATCACTTCATTCTCATCCTCAGTTACTAGCAATCTGACTGCATGGTTAAAAAAGCTGTGATACTAGATCACTATGTTTGCACAGACTAAGTAGAGAAAGCCTGCCTGGTTTACTGCTATGAACTCAATTTTGCCTTGCTTGGTACAAGTTTTGGTACTGGATCCAATCTTGAATTGCTTGAGCAGCTGGAATCCTGAAATCTAATATATTATCAGAGACAGAAAATACAAATGTACAAACAACATCTTTGGGAGGTAGAAGGTTGGAAAAAATCTCATACAGAGTGTTTACAGTAAAATCCAATACAGAGTATTTTCCTGTCAACATGCATGCAATTCTAGCCAGGCACAGACCACAGCAGACCTATTCCCATGGCTATCAAGGGCCCCTCCCACACCTGAGAGTAGAAGGGAAAGCAAAAAGCCAACACTGTCACTGCAAAGGTGTAAGGAAGTTGTCAGCTGAGGCAGCAGACTGAGGTCTAACATGTCTCAGCTGACATGGCTCTGCTGCATGGATGTCAGGAGAAATTAATGAAATAATGGAGGCAATTTGGTTGTGGGAGAGCCAAATCTAGGAGCTACTAGGGTAATACTTCATGCTCTGTAAACTGAAAGTTGTTTAATCCTGCTATCTACCCATCCAAAGATGCTTCTACTTAGCTACTCAAAGATGTTGCTTTTAGTGCTCGCCTCTCATCATTAAGAACACTATTAGCAATCTCTGTAGAAAGAAAAAAAAATCAATGTATCAGACTCTCAGGATGTTTTTATGTTGGGAAGAGCACCCATTAAATTATCATGAAATGTTCATGGATACATCAGAAGAAAGATGACAAATTAAGATCTTACTGTTGAATTGTTGATGGCAACAGAACAGAGGCTTGCCCTGTGGGCAGGAAGCTGGTTTATGTACGTCAGCTGGTTCAGGTCCCAAATGATGCAGGTTCTGTCATCAGATCCACTCACGAAAATGCTGTAGGTCACAGATGCAGCAAGGCAGGTCACTGCCTCAGTGTGCCCATACAAAGCCTGGTATGGGGAAAAAGCAACCAACAAACCACAGTAGAGGGTGGCTGATTTACTAGGGAACCATAGTCCTACTGTCCTTTGCTTAGTAACAACAAGCAATCTACTCATTCTTTGGACAACTGAAAAAGGGAATGAGGGGGAAATCCCAAAGGATCTTACAGAAGCATATTTGTCCTCAACTTGTGGTTGAGGGAAGTTGAGTCTCCAAGAGATTAAATTATTTGCCCCAAGCTGCCTACAGGGCAGCATTTTAGACACTACAACAGCCTTTTTTGGTCAGCAAAAACCCATCACTTTTCACTTCACTCCATGCAGTTTTAAGTAAAATTTATGCTTAGAAATAATAATTTCTCAATATTTTTTTTTAAAAAAAGAAACAAAACTTATCAGGGTGTATTTCAGTGACCTTCAGTCTTTCTGTTTTTCTGAACAAGTACTAATATTTTTCCAATTTTAGTTAAGAAGAAAAACAGCATTTGGGGATAATTTTTGCATCAAGCCATATATGAATTCCTTTCTCTTTCATCATAAACAAACATACTTTTTTTGTTTGGTTGTTTTTTTAATAGCTTCTAGAGATGTAAAGAGTACCCAGTTTAATTTAGCCTTAAGTAGTTTCATAAAGAAGACTACATTTTAGGCAATTTAATAGCACAGATAGAAATCATAGATAGAAGTATACTGACAACAACTGTTTAATGCAGCATTCTCAAATGGCAGCAGTATACATTTCTGCTGTGTAACCACCAATGACAGTAAAGCCTGTAGGGCAACAGAGAAAAAGCCCTTCACAGCTTTCCTAAAAAGCCTTTCAGGGCTCAATTTTTAGCTGCCTTACTGTGAAAAATCAGACCCACTAATTTTAATGTTGGTTTTAACAGTAAATGCATATTCCCTGCTGGCTTTCTCCACATGACACAATTAGCACATCTTCAGGGTCTGTCTCAGTTCAGCATGGAGCAGGAGAGCCACATGTCCCAGATGATTTTTGCAAACACATCTCATACTCTTTTCCAGCCTGTAACTGTGAGACTGAACTCTTGCTGGCTAACATGTGCTGCCACTTGCCAAGGTTACTAGGACAACAGTATTCAAACATTAATCCACTGGTGAAGAAGCTGAGCTGCAGCAGGCTATGTACTACTGAAGGTGACCTGCAACTGCGAGGGATTAATTTCAGTTTGTGATTTATTCCATTCACAAAAACTATCAAATAAAAATACTGGCACAAAATGAGGTCTCCTACAGTGGTTTTCAGAGGTCAGAAACACTCTCAAGTGAGCATAGAAAAGAAAGCTCAGTAATAGCTTTGGATTAGCTGTAGAACAGTCTCTTTATGAAGGACTGGGCATAACCCAGTGCCTGTGCTTGAGAACTGCACAAGACCTCTGTAAAATGGGCTGGGAAAAGGCAGGTCCAAGGGCTTTCAAAGCACAAAAGAAAATGTACCTAATGTGACAGTATCTAAACTGCCAAGTCAAACCAGGCCAAGCTCCTGCACAAGTTTTAATTTTTATTTTTTTCTTTTTTTTTTCTTTGTTTTTGGTTTTGTTGTTGTTGTTTTTTTTAAACCCAGAAAGATCCTAGCTGGCAGTGAAGTGCTTTAAATACAAGCTGAGTGTGGAAGGGAGGATTAGACCTGAGCCCAGTTACAATCTCAGCTTCAATCCACCAGCGTCTCAATCCATATTAACACAGAAACAGTTGCATGCTTTTAGCTCTCTACCATCCTCTCATTATTGCTCTGCAAAGACTGATAGGTTTTCCCTTAATGAGAAATATCCCACAGCATATCTGCAGAAAGAGCTGTGAGGACTATCTCCAGAGTAAATTCACAAATATCAAGACAAAAAAGACGACCAGCTTCACTGGAGGAATGCTTAATCCATGAAAACTTAAACCAAGTTTGACCATCCAACTTAACTGGTCGATGTGGACACAGACACTTCACTCCTATGCTCAACACCTCCCTGAGAGGTCTGTGTGGCAAACAGCACAGCTTGCCCAGATGCTTCTCCCAGTCTAGTGCTTCATTTTTCCAAGAAATTCGGGAGGCTGGATTGCATGGATCGCTCTGCTCATGAACACTGAGGGAACTGGTAAATTGCATGGATCAATACTGAGGCTTTTATGCTCAATCTTTAGAGTTCCACAAAACTGTGGAAGCAGTCCCTGCCAGAGAGGGAAAAGTGACTTTTTCTGCTGAAATATAGTTTCTGTACTTTACTACATTCCAAACCAGAATGTGTTAGTCCCATGAGACAGCTGGTAAGTGAATAGCATCCACTTTATAGCACATCAGCTTTACTTAAGCAAAGCTCACTCTCTCGGGAAAGATGATACAATTTTTTTGTTCAGCAGAAAAAGCAGCCACCATGAAACAGTGAATTACATGAAAGCAGCAAGTAATTCACTGGAAGTCATTTAGAACCATAGTTTAAATTTACATCTATACCAGACAGTCATCAAAAAAAGCCTCTGCTAGCAAAGAGAAGGAAAAATATAGAATTTGTCATTGCATGATCTCATGCCACTTTGTGGACTTTGGGTAATGTGGGTAATACCAGATTAATCACAGCAGAACACAAAAGCAAAGCCAATTTTAGATTGTTAAAGAGAAAGGCATTATACTGGAGATAAAAGACAGCCTCTTCAAGTAGTTGCCTGAAACCCAAACTGATCCCCTGACTGGTGTCATTTTGATGTTGGTGAAGATCACTGCTTATCCTTTTCTCTGCTGCTATTTCTTCCACTTCCATGTCCACATCCTGGTTTGGAATAACTAGCTAGATTAAAAGTTCATCACTGAAGATCTTGTCTCATATTTCTGGCTTCTTCTCAAGCAGAAAACAATATAAACCTCAGAGACTGCTCTAACCACAGTTTTCCCCCTAATTTCAACACACAGAATTTCAGATAAATGAAGATCTAAGTATTTCTCTGGCATCCCCAAAGACATTGAAGTTTTCACATAATTTAATGGCAAATAAAATATGTTTTGGCTCAGGGTATGGAAAACACTGAAATATCTGAATATGCCTCCAGAGCAAATGAACAGAAGCAGCTTCTAACGCTTGTAGACCTTGCTGATCAGTGAACACTTTATTAGTTCACCTAAAGTAGCAGAATGTTTTCTCTCTTGATTTCTTAGGGAAAAAGGGCCTGATGCTGCCTTTCGGATATGATAGAGGTGTACTGTAGCTTTACTTGTAAAGCTGAGAAATCACCATGGCTGAACTGCACAAATCTTACATGAGAATTCGGTTTTGTAAATGAAACAGCATTTATACAACTGTTTGATGACTATAGATGAGCTCCAAATCAACAGCCACTAAAGGACTTTTGACAGTGAGAACACAAGCTATATCATTCTTATTGGATGCATCCCTGCCTCATGGACTGACAGACAAACCTTTTAAGTTCTGAATTCAGCTTGAGAGAAAAAAATCAAGAACTTTGCCTTGCTGAGGTTTCCTCTTCATCAGCTAAGTTGGTAGGGTGTTTTGGAGATCCTGTCCATTGCTGTAGCAGCCCAAAAAGAACTATAAGCTTTTTCAAGTGATACTGGGTTTTGAAAATAATGCAAGGGTTGGCTTCATTTCAAGCGAGGAGAGCATATGCCTTATCTTCACTGCTTCTTTGATCATGATAAACTTTGGAAATGCTACCAAAGATGAAAAAAACCCAACCCAGAGTTCATAACTATAAAGCTGTGGGTATAAGGTGTATTATTAGCTCCTGACCTGATAACAGGCTGTCACATGATATTGTTGATTATTGGGGTTTTTTTCTGCCTTCTTGATTCACCCAAAGGTGTTTCCTCTGCCAGTCACCAGAAAAACTAATTGGTTTTCATTAAGTTTCTATAGCAAAAGAGCCACAGTACTGACCTGTCTCAAGTTTAGACATTTCACTTTGTCCTTGACCAAGGAAAGTTCCCAGACACACACAACTGAGCTTGTTCCAGATGTGATTATGGTAGTTGCTGAAGGACACACAGCGCAGAGGCACTTTCCCCAGTCTGCCATGCACTCAAATGTAGTCATGTTCTGTACAAGAAAGTAGCTTTAAATCCAATGTTCATCAGAACTGAGCCTCCATTTCTTCAAATCCAGGAAATAAAAGTTCATCTCAACCAGTCTGTATGCTCACAGCACAGTTGCAATAACATGTACAATGCATGGGCTACAGCTGCATGCAGCTGTGCCATCCTCTAGGGGCCAAACAGGAAGGCTGGACAAAGGTTAGTGTCTTGGAGACCTGAGTCCCAATCTGTTGTCCCAAAGACTTCCTACATAACTTCAGGCAAGCTCATTCTTCCACCATATAGTGACAGAATGCAGTCATTCAATGTAGATTAAAAAGAACACTCAGGCTGTGAAGGCCACTGCTAACAGAGCTAGTGTCAAGTTCTCCAACCCTCCTCGTACTTGGATTAAAAAGCCAAAAGCCAAAGCATTAAATTCCATTCTGTGCCAACAGTTCTGTTAGCAGCACCCAAACAAGCCTAAAGCAAGGTCAGGTCTATTACACTTCGCTACAATTAGTGCATAAACATCCTTCTGCTCACATTCTGCATTAGCTCTCTCCCACACAACAAGGACAACACTATGGTGCTAATGATTCTGGTGGAGCTGGATGGCATAGCTACAGAAACCATACCACAGACAGAACAAAACTTCATTTACTTACAAGGAGGACAAAAATTTCTTTTAAGCTTATGTCAAGAAGCACTGCTGACCCAGAGAGAACTCAAGCTGGACTCCCAACTACTTCTCATAGTGACTGCATAATGACACTCACTATGCTTAGTGTCACTAGGCTAAGTGACACCTTGACTTTTTAAGAGACAAAAAAGTAATTATACCTACAGCAGCACTATGAATTGCTAAGCACTGATTTTAAATGAAATCAATGAAGAAAACTCTCAATAATTTTATATAGTGAGCAGAAAGTAAAATACATCACATGGCTTTTTCACTTCCATTGACTGTGGGTATGTCTGTGAAAACATAATGAGGTGGCTTGCACAAATACCCAAGTCAGCATCTTGTTGAATAATGTATTTTGCTATTCTGGTACCCAAGCTAACTCAGATGTCTTTGTGTGTCATAATATTGTCCAAAACACATCCAAAAATTAGTGTATTTGTTGCAGAGGAAGAAACTGTATCTGTCAAGTGCCCTAACAAGCAGTGTGATGACATAGGTGGTTGATTTTTAACAGCAAAGAAGTATGAGTATTAACTTTCTACAGCAGAAGACATTATTATTTTGAATGAATGCACTGGGCTAAGCTTAGGAGCCAGAGGGGAATTGACAGATGGTCCTATCTTAATTCCAGCAGAAAGTTCTGCACAATGAAATTTCTAATCAGTGGCCAGAAGACCTTGCATTGTCCTTATAACCTACGAAACAGGGTTTCTCCTTCATTTTGATGAACAACACAGTCACTGGAAGGAAAACTTGAGATAATTTAGAAGGAAAATGCCACAACTTTCAGCAGTGTAAAATGACTTTGTACTCTGTTGGGCTATCCAACTTGAGATTTCTCAAGAAGCTTGACTGTGAGCTTGCCTGTACACCATCCTCTGAAATCAGCTCCCCAACAGACTCTGAAATGGGTGCCCAAACCAGTCAAAGACTGTAACATATCACTAGTTTTTAGAATACTTAGACTTTTTCTTATTTACCTTCTCAGACCCATAGTTTCCAAGGCAGCAGGTGAAGTCCTCAAATCCCCAGCAGAATGTTTTGCTCCAAAGAGGAGGAATCAACACTTTGTTTTTCTCAACAGCCAGAATGCCTTTCTCAGTATGAACAATGTGCCCAATAGCTCCCTTGGGATAGTCTGACAAGACAGAACATATTTAATTCTGTTGTTTTTAGAACACTTACGTTAACTTTCCTCCTTGCACAGCTTGTGTGGTGAGGCTGGCAAGTCCCACAACTGGGCTCAGTGCTGTGGCCAGGCCCACAGACAGAAATCCACTCTACAACTGAGATACCAGACAGAACGGTGGAAACACTTCTCTCCAATGGACCACATAAATCCATGCCGAGGCAGTGATGTGCTCCAAAGGAGGGGATTTAACAGCAGTGGCACTAAGCTCCTTTTCACTGACAGACTGCCTTGTGCCATGCACTACAGAGGATGGTGGGCATGTCATCAACAGCCTCTGCAGTACAGCAATGGGAGCCCACTGTGCCCACAAAGATGTGTGATGTAAAGAACACCACCCTGGGATGAAAAAGGAGACACACTGAAATTTTCCAGGCTTCTTCATGGTAAGAAAAGTAGCAAAATAAGAAAAAGATGAAGAAAAAGAAAAGATTTGAAGAATGAGAAGTGGGGAAAGACAGTATTTAGTTTTCTGTTGAGTATTAAAAAAAAAGAGAATGAGAATGGAAAACAGTGAGCATTATGTTTTAACTTAACATATTCAGAAAGTACAAGGAGAAAAGATTTAGGTGTCTTATAAAAAAAAATGTTCTCAACTCTACAAGAGAAGTTTTAAGATTTCTCCTGAGTATTTGAGTATTTTCAATGCCCACTCACAATACACACATACACACATTGGCAGAAGGGATCTTGATTGTACCAGTTCATAAAAAGCTGTGTGATTATTTTTATGCTCTTGAAAATCAGATTCACCCATCCAAGAACTCTGTACTTATTAGCTCAGAAAATGGAGCATGGCCCCTGCAGCACCTTTTATTGTAACTGGTGAGAGTTTCAGATTTTGCAGACTGCTCATAAAAGGAGGAAGAATTCCACTTGAGTGAAGGGACAGCACAGTCTCTCTTCCTGATGAACTTTTCCCTTGGGCAT